CCAGCTGTAGAAAATCAATATTGGAGCAGACGAGAGATTAAATGTATCGGAGACTGGTGATGCAGAGTATATTCTCACAGTTTCCTCATCACCTACTGTACAGAGGTAGAAGGATAAAGAGGTCATGAGTCACTGCTGTATCCTGTGTGTGTGATAGTAGAGGAATGGCAAACATTCAGCCACTTCATCCATGTCGTATCATCAGCGGGCAGAGTGTGACAGCAGGACGTAGCCAGAGAGATCCTGATAAGAGCCCGTATCAGTCAACTGAGAGACTAAGCAAATATAGTGATGGAAGTCAGGGAGGATGGTTGGTTACATAAGAAAAAGCAAGAGAAAAGCAAACTGAAAGATGTCGCTGTGGAGAGAGGAAAGGCCCTTTGCTCATAGCACAACATGAAGTATATGACTAGGATATAATGTATTAATGTAATAAAGCACGAGTTTACAAACAATAGATGCACATTAGACCACAGACTTTTTGTTTATTGTTAGGATTAAAGATAAAGTCAATCAATGATCAAACTAGGTCACTGCAAATTAATCCAACCTACGCCAACCCTATGTCTTCCCTTGTAATGTGATAAAAGACCCTGTACCACCCACCACTGTTGGTCCCTTGATTTTAGTCCACTAGACTAAAGTTCAAATTAGCCTCCACTCAAAAATATATTTTTCTTCTTGTTCCTACAGTTGGATGTTTGAGCTTCAGCTCGCAGATCCAGGGCCAGTATGCCACCGGTGCACATATCAGACACACATTATTGTTCCAAGCAGACTATTTTTATACATGTTTTTTTACCTGACTGGAGGGGGAGAAACTACATTGATTGCAGTGACAACAATGGTGGTCAAGACAACAACTCCCATGATCCCACGCTACCTCACAGTCATAAAACGTAGTCTTTTGTTATTGTTTTGTTATGTGAGCGACGCCCTAGTGGCAGAAATTACATATTGTACGTTTAAAGCAACAACAAAGAACTTTATTATTTATTGTTGATTCTGGCGGCCCCTGTGGACAGTAGTGGTAGTGTTCCCACTTCCTCATTTCATTGATTTCAAGGGGAATCTGCCTGAATACAACGAGGTGGCAGATATTAAACTCAAATATAAACAGCCAATCTTCTCACTGATGGTCTCTTTGTAGATCATATAGAGGCATCAGTATTACATTTAGACTGTTTCATAACCGATTTAAAAACTCCTTGTTGTAGGTTTAAGTTCTAAAGGTAGTAAATACTATACTGAGACCGTAGGAAGGACTTAACACAAACGTAGTGAAGGATTTATAAAGAGCTGGTGCTGCTCAAGTAGGACAACATGGCATCCAAACAAAACAATAGAAAGAGGCAAGTTTTCAAAACTAATCATGTATGTAACACGATGTATGCATGTGGCGTTGGACATGTGTGTGTGTGTTGGGTTGATTCCTTAAGGCTGTGTTTATGCTTCAGTGGTATAACATCCACACGCCTGTTGTGACACCATACTGTGTTCGCTGTCGTCATCATCTAATTGTAGGCCACACAGTCCTCAGGGACCGAACTAAAAAGTTCAGTTTGATGTCCTGAAATCTGTTTGAATACAAACCTGACTGCACTTAATTTTAGAGCTGAGCTAAAGCTGGTGCAGTTTATTATTCTGTACACTGCAAAAAAGGAATCTTAAAATTAATTTAAAAAATGGGAAAGGATGCTTATTTTTTGTCTAAAAAGAAAAATAATCTTGTGAAGCATGTTTTGCATAAGAAAAGAAATCTAATTTTAAGATAATTTTAAGAGAATATATCTAACTTTGTCTTAATAAGATATCATAGCTAATATTGAGCTATAACCAGTAACAAGTTATAACAATGCTTTGCATAATATCTCAGCAGAGGAACAAGATTATTTTACTTATTTTAAGAGTAAGACACTTCTCAATTTAAGAGAAAATAGTCTTAATCCTAGTGTTTTGAATGCTGTTTAATTTCTCATTGTTTTAATAAAAATAAGGCTTCTGGTTCCTTAATTTAAGACAAAGTCACTTCTTCTTATATTCAACTCAATAAAGTGACCAAAATACATTTGGCTAAATAAAGTCTATCTTAAATAACTGAGTTTTCATTGCTTGTAATAATTATTGTTTTCTAGTTTTAAGGCCAATTACAGTCTTTTAGTGGCAAGATTTTTATGCTAGTTTTAATAATTCTAGCCAAGTAAAATTGGCTTACCTCATTGGCAGATTTCTTTGATTATTTCTTAAGAACATTTGGCTTCTTTCTCGAAGGGCTGTTTTCTGCAGTCTAGAGTTACAGTTAAAAACCACCAGGAATTATACTGTAGGTTAAACCCTTTCATAAAGTCTAATGAAAGAACAATGTGTTATCTGTATCATGGACTTGAGAACTGCTCTTGACCTGAGATAGTATATGTTATCATTCTTCCTTTAGACAAAATAGACAATGTGCTGCCAAGCTATCAGTCTTTTCTTCTCTCAAGGAGCCTTGAGCATTTGATTATATTACCCAAATAATCTTTTGCTCTAATTTGATACAGCTCCTGGAACTCATCTGCATGAAAAGTGCTGTTTGTTCAACGTAAATAAAGCAACAGAGAAATTAAGAAGGTAAAGACCCAAACTTTTGATATCTTGTGTGAAAGTGGACAATAGTGTTTATATACACTTTTTTGTATTTCCCCATCATGTGTATTTCTTCATAAGCAGTGATCATCCATCAAAGGCCTCATTTTAAAGGGTTTAACACACAAATAAACACCAACTTGTAAATGAACTTCAGACATTTATTTAAATAAAGATTTAAAGAAAGTAGCATATGACAATAACAAATACAGAATTCAGTCAATAAGTTAAGCCATAATAGGCAACTTGACACAAACATCTTGTTTTGCTTCAGTAACATTCATTTGGGGGATTTCAAATAAAACAGTTTCATGAGGAAGGATATGTACAACAAAACAAGTTGTCTGTCAAAAAAAAAAACCCAGCGAGAGCGAGAGAGAGAAACTGAAATGACGGCTGTGTATTGACCCAAATGGAGCTTGTTTTGGATAGCACAATGCACCAGACAGGAATGAGAGGTGATATAATGACTGAAGCAGAGCTACAGAAGACGTGTTTTTAGATGGCGTGCTGTTTTCCAACAACCCACTCCTGGCTTTTCACCAGCGTGGGGTCTTTTAAAACCACGTAGAGATCAGGGAGGCAGTCCACCGCTCCCTGAAATGTCCAGCCGTCACCTTCGCAGTGGCTTTTTGTCTAATGCTACAAATAAAAAATATATATATGAAAATCTCGGAGATCCATCCCTCCCTCTCTCTCCGTGAGGCAGGAACCCCGCTCAGGCCTGCCCCCTGCTCACACTGTTGCTAGGCAACGCGTAAAAATTCCAGTGTTCTGTACATCCAGAGATCTCCGGGCTTCTCGGTGCAGACCTACTAATCATCAAGTCCTCCATTAGCTGAGCTGTCAACAGCCCGCCAATGCCAGAAGACTCAAGTGAATACAAGAACAACATCTACAACAACAACAACAACAAAACAAAATAAAAAAAAAAAAAAAAACCTAAAAGAACAGCCACAAGCAAGTAGAAACATCCAGAAAAAGAAGGCTATTTAATGAATGGAGAATGTAGAGAATAGTTTTTTAGGGAAGTTGCAAAAATAAAATGTAAATCTTTTTAAAGCATAAAAAGAGGAAGAAGGGGAAAAAAAATAATCTTTCTCCAGACAGGACCAGCCTGTTTGTGTCGATTCACCTTTTCCACTGATCATCTCAGGGACATTTAATATTTAAAGGTTCAGTGTGAAACATTTAGAGAATCTATTGGCAGAAATATGAATATTCATAGGTATGTTTTCATTAGTGTATAATCACCTGAAGATAAGAATTATTGTGTTTTTGTCACCTTAAAATGAACTGTTTTTATATCTACAGACACTGCGGGTCGCCGTCCATGGAGTCTGCCATGGTTCTACAGTAGCCCAGAACGGACAAACCAAACACTGGCTGTAGATACACTTCACAGTCCACTACTCATTCCTCGGTCGTCAAATACAGACGCGAGCAGTGTTCAGTTAGTTTTTTAATCTGCAACTTCACCACTAGATGTCGCTAAATCCTCTACACAGGTCCTTTAATGCAGCGATCCAGGCTGGAAATGCTTAAGATAACTGTGAACAATGAAAGATTCAGCTTAACTCAGCTCCCGGAGCTTGTTAAAGCGCTGGTGAGCCGGGCCTCCCGCATAAACACGTTTACAGTCCAAAGTTCAAAGTCGAGGACTATTTCTCTTTAAATATCGATGAGGCACAGGATTCAAAAACAAAGATTTCTAAGACTCCTCTTGTTACACTGAAATAAATCCATCCAGTCTGGTTTGTGTGAAAAGAAATCTTTGTTCTATTTTTTAAAGACCGAGAAAAAAAAGATTTTTTTTGTTTTTTTTGCTGGAACATGTATCAAAAACTAATATCCATTAAGCAGCTCTTAAAGTAGCAGGGAACAGTGAGATGATGTATCATTAATGTAACATCACTAAATCAAGCCTTGTTGTTAATAATGTTGAATAATTATGACTGCTGTGGAGACGGGTGATGATGGGG